AGAGAAGCTGAGAGCAGCAGCAGCAGCAGCAGCTGCGAGTGAGAGAGAAAGAGTGCCGAGAACGTAGGAGAAAAATAAAAGGAGAGGAAAGGAAATCCAAGTGAAGAGCTGGAGGCAGCCGCAAAAAGCGCGTAGCGCGCGCTGGAGCCTCGGCAGCTTTCCCCGCTCGTCCACACTTTCACCCTCTCCTCTCCCTCCTACACCCCCTCGCAGCGGTATACTTTTTTTTTTCCTTTCTCTCGTTCTCTCTCTTTCTCTCGCTCTATGTATATATAAGCACGAGCTAGTGTAGTTATTCGCAAGCTCTGCAAGTGGTGGTAGTAGTAGTATAAGCAAAGAGCGGCTGCCACTGCTGCTGTTGCTGCTGCATTGGGAGAGGAAAAAAAAAGTAACGACCCATTGTCGGGCGAGCGAGCGAGAGCGCACAGCAGAGTTTCGCGGAAAATGGGGAAAAATACATGTATAACAGCAGTTGTAAAAAAAAGGAAGAAAAAAAATACCTTCGTTGCATGGTACATAGGTATACAGGAAAGCTTTAGCCAAGCTCGGGTTAAGGCGCGCAGGCGCAAGCACGCCCGCTGCTGCTGCTGCTGGTGTTGTGCGCTCAACGGCACAGCGCGCGCGACAGCAACAGCAGACTCCGACGATCGATGTGCTGCTGCTGCTGCACAAGAACGAGAGAGAGAGAGAGAGAGAGGCAAAAGACGACGCTAAAATGCAACCGCGCCCGCGGGCGACTCCGAGACTCCTAGTCGTCGACTCAATCTCTTTTCTCTTTTCTCTCTATATACTTGGGCTAGGGCTCTGCATAGGTATACATGTATATCTAACTCGAGTAATCTGCAGCTAAAAAAGTGGCTAAAAGCCTCCTTCCGTACGTGCGGATCGCTGCGATAAAGCCTCCGGAGCCGGCGATCTTTATCTCGATTTTCTCGCTCGCTCCTGCGCAGCCCCGCGCGCCCGCTCGAATAATATACTTTATCGAATAATAAGCTCGAAGGTAGCTGCTGCGAGAGAGAGAGCGAATAATATAAAAATTCCGAATCCATTAGTCCGTCCGTAAGTCCATATCATAATGACCATAATTTAGCGATGAGCGTACGCAAACGTGTGGAAATGTTCATAAGTGCATTTGCTTGCTTGCTTGCCTCTGAGCAGCAGCTCGCGCGTCGTGTAATCGGAAAGTCAGGGTCGTAAGATCGAGTCCTTGAGGATGCCATCGCCGAGCACATCGTCCAATATTTCACGAGTCCACCGTACTGGGCAAGCAGCTATACGTACGTTTCAACATATACGCGACTCTGAATATTCTCTTGCGCATATTCTCAGTCTTGTCCGCGCTGCGCGTGTATATAAACCACTAATATAATGACCATAGTGCATTATAAAGCCGTGCGGAGTTGCCGCTGCTGCGGGCTTAGCAGTCTCGGAGTACGTGACGTGACGCGTACACTGCACTCCAGAGCGCATCTCTCTTCTCTCTCTCTATAATAATATAACCCACTCTCGTGCGCGCGCCACGATCTCTTAATCTGCCCAAGGTTGCGGCGCGCTGTGTATACTGTATACGTGGCAGACGACGGGGCAACTCTGCACGACACACGGTAGCAAGCAGCAGGACGACTTCTCGTTCATCGTGCTTACATACGACTTTACACCTGTTTTCCGTACTGATTTATTTCCTTTTTTTCTCTCTCTTTTAAAGAATTTTTCACTTTCGCACGCGCACTAGGATATGTACAAATATCATTTATACGTATATTGGTATAAATCATACCCCGTAGTGTGTCGCATGTAATAGCCGACAAGCGACGGATTATATATATACACATCGTATATACACGTAGAGCCCGGGGAAGAAGAGAAATTGAGAGAGGGATGAAATATCAGGCTCGTCGTTCAAGCTTGACAAACCTGACTGATATGCATGGCGCCGCTCGCTCGCGAGCTATACGTAACAGCTCAGCTATATACTGCAGTGCTATAGTGGTAGTAGTAGTAGTGCAGCTGTAAACGACGATATGTCTCGCCTTTCCGTTTACCGCACCAGCCCCGTAGCCAGCAGCGCGTTCGCTTGGCGTCACACACGATATATACCTCGAAATATTTACACGCAAGCTCGACGAGAGCTTTTTTGCTCGCTATTATTTACTTTTTAACTTTAACGAAATATCGATGTAGAACGCAGCTAAATAAAAAAAAAGTACACCGGTTGCGGGAACGAGAAATAAATATCGCGCGATCGACGAGAATCATCATCGTTTGCGATTTGTAACGTGTACGTTTATATCGTACGTAGGTAGGCTTTAATAACATCGTTGCTGCGTGCAGGATATGCGCACGCCTAATAATAACACGGTATAGCGCGAGCGCGAGAGCTGCAGTGGATGCAGAAGCGACGCAGCGGCGACCTGTGTGTCTGTGTAAAGTGTATAAGACACTGCGCGCGAGTAATAATCCGCGTCAGTCACGCTCGACACTTCTGCAACCGTTGCGAAACTCTCTCGAACGATCATCGTCGTCGTCGTCGTCGTCGTCTCTCTCGGGCTCTCGAGCTCGCTCGCTCTCTCGCGCATCCGCATCGCATGTGTACGTGTGTGGGATATATACACAATAATAATAACAGATAGGTGCAAATTTACCCATAATCTGCCGCGCGCGCGCGTATACTGCATTGCACTGTCTATATAAATCCATCATCTTTTTATATTATACATCCACTCGGGGCTGCTCTCGCGGCGATATACCAGCGATCCGATGCTGCTGTGCCGTCTTTGAGATAATTAAATATGATGCATCGGCGTTATATGCATGGCACGCCGCCGCCACCACCACTGCACGGCACTGCACACGTGTGTCTGTACTGCGCGAATTGCACTTTATGCCGATATTTATATGGATGATGGCGAAATAATCCTACATACCAATAATATCGTCCCAGGCTGCGAGCGTCTCTAATTGAGATTACGATATTTTAATATGCCTCGATCTAATCCAAGTCGATTTGATCTCGACGCATTGTGTGTGTGTGTGCACCTACGCACCATTTTGTACACGCGTGTATTACACTTACCCGACGGGCTTGATAGTCAAATATATTTTTTAGCGTATGCACAAATTGTTGGAGTCTTTTTGACGTAACAGCTGCTGCTCGTGCGCTGCCGCCTAAGGGCTCGACTCGGTGCACTACATATTATACCAGGTAAAGATCATCGCCAGATTCTCATAGCCAGAAAGAAAGAGAGAGAGATGCGTAACGCAAGATAAACGCCCGGCGCTCGTATGCACTACTGCGCCACTCTTACGTGTATATGATACGCTTATGTGTGTGCATGTGTGCGCAATGTAATGTATGTATTACACGGACTCGACCTTCCTTATTTCACGCGCGCGCGCGCACGCCGAGCCGAGCTACAAAGGTATAGGCCGACTTTAATACCTCTATCTCTCCCATATAGCGCATATGAACCTCGTGTGCATATCATGGGATTGCGTTATGAGATTCTCGTATATATGTATTCGCATGCACATGTATTTGTGTGTGAGAAAAAGGTACACGTATCGCACGCACATACGTGCGAGTATATAAAAGACTCGATTTGCTCCGCGGTTGGTCAGTTGAATCACGTTCTTCGAGCTTTTGCCTATATACCCACGTAGTCATGAAGGTAAGTTTATACATGCAAATATCATGCGGCACTTATATCTCCGAGTTCTTTTTCTATCTTTCTTCTCGAAGACTACTTTTTTTTTCTATTTCTCTTGTGTGTTTTTGTTTCTCTCGCCCTCCAAAAGGTCGCAGGATTGTTCGGTGCTGTGGGACTGCTTCTGCTGCTGCAGTTGTTCAGCGTTCACGCCACTGGTAAGGTTTCTTTTCTTTTCTCTTTTTTTTTTAGTTATTTCTATATTTTATCCGACTTCATTTTTCTCACTCTCTCTCTCTCTCGCTCTCGACGTAATCGAGAATGGACTCTTCTTCCCATCGTCGCGCTGCGCCGCTGTCCCTTTTTTTACGAACTTTTTTTATCGCTCGCGGATGAGAGAGATCGTTTTCGCCCCTCACCACCTTCTGCTCCGTACTTCACCCCCGCACTCGTAGACTTTTCCTTTTTCTCAGCCCCGAAGGCGTTCGCAGACGCTAATTCCATCGGACGGTGATGATGTATTTTCTTTTCTTTCGGCGAATTATTTCACCTCGAGGCTCCGCAAGCGCGAACGTTATATTATCTCTAGATATAGTTATAGTACATTATAGCAGTCGAGACGCGCGTCGGAAAAATTCGCGAGAGTTATTTTAACGAGTCGAGTCGGTCTCGCGAGTTGCGCCCCGCGCGCGCGTATGAAATATAGCAGCATCAGGTGCATCGCACTCGGAGCTTGTTATATACTACACGTTTCCGTGTGTCTCTCGCCCTCGCTCTCTACTATGGTTATATACTTTTTTTTCTTTTTTTTTTACTCGCTCTCTCTCATTTTTTTACATACACACGTACACACATACATATGCACACAGAGCAAGTAGCCGCGACGAGTAAAACGAGGTCAAGCGGGCTCACCACCACATACGTATACACATACACACCTACACATATCTCTCTCTCTCTGGCTCTCGCAAGCCCTACGGATGTACGTATAGATACAGTGATATACGCGTGTGTGCGTGTACAGGGCGCACGAGAGCTTGCACGAGTCTGGGTCTGCAGTAGGTGTCTGCGTTACGGACGTGTGCAAGCGCGTACAGCTACCCAATCGATACGACGATTTTTTTTACTCTCTTCTCTCTTTTTCTCTCAACTCTTTTTTTTACTCTCTCTCTCTCTCCGCATAGCAGTGAAAATTTTAATCTGTCCTGCATCATTAATATCCGCTGCTGACGCGTGCGCTCGCCTGTTCTGCACTGTATAAGTACTGAGGAAAAAAACGGGGAGAGAGAGAGAGAGAGAGAGAGAGAGAGAGAGAGAGAGAAAGAAAAAAATCAAGCCATGTCGGAAAAATTTGATTCATCCTTTTCCATTGCCGCATGCTTTTTGCTTAATACGGTTATGTATCTCAGGTTGGAATCCATGGAGCTCGGGGGGAGGTAAAAAAATCATCAAGGTGATCCACGTGACCGGTGGTGGAGGCGGTGGAGGTTGGAAGTCCGGCGGTAGCAGTCGCGGATGGAAATCGTCCTCCGGATGGTCTAGCGGCGGCGGCGGTGGAGGCTGGAAACCATCGTCCGGATGGTCCAGTGGCGGTGGTGGATGGAAGCCTTCCTCCGGCTGGTCGTCGGGCGGCTCCAGTGGCGGTGGCTGGCCGTCGGCCTCGAGCTGGTCCAGCAGCAGTCTCGGTAGCTCCGGAGGTTGGCCGTCGTCGTCCTCCGGTGGCTGGAAGAAGCCCAGCAGCGGTGGATGGAGCTCCGGCGGTGGTAGCGGTGTCGGTGCCTTGTCCGTCTGGCCATCGTCCGGTGGTTGGCAGAAGCCCTCGTCCTCGGGCGGCTGGAACTCCGGCGCCGGCAGCAGCATCACCATCTGGCCGAGCAGTGGTGGAAGCAGTGGCGGTGGCTGGCAAAAACCGTCCGGTGGCTGGCCCAGCAGCGGCGGCGGCTCCGGTGGTTGGAGCAGCGGTGGCTCGAGCTCCGGTTGGCCCAGCTCGGGCAGCTCTGGCTGGAGCAACGCCGGTTCATCTGGTAAGTCAAAGTGCACACAGTAGCTGCATTATTGCATACAAGCAGCGCATCTTTTTCTTCTCCGCGTCTTTCTCATCCTCCAGTCACTCCTTACCTTGAATCATCATAATCATTTCGTCACAAGTTGTTGGCCGCCGCCGCGTCATTTGCATCGTGGTCTGGATAAACACTTCATTTTGTGCAACTCCTCACGTAGATAGCTCGTTATATTGCTGCAGCGCAGCTTCGCAATACGATCGTTATAATATACAAACATACCGGCGCGTAATTTTTGATTCTCTCTCTCTCGTTGGCTGACTACATTTTTTACTTTATATGATATCTTCACGCACGTAGTTGTACAGATATGTATAAAATATAAAAAAAGAGTAAAAACACCGCGCGCGCTTATAATTCGTTGGCACCGTTGACCTCATTTTTACATATATCCACACAGAGCCTCGCTCGCTCGCGGATTATGAAAGTTAATTGGAAGGCTCGTTTATGCACTCGCGCGCGTAGGTACACGTATACGCGCACACACACACTATAACACGGGCTATACTCGCTGCTTTTTGTGCATTCATACACGAAAAATGGTCCGCGCGCGTTTAATTTCCTTTGGGAAGCGGGTAGGGATCTCTAGCTCGCGAAAATACACACACAAGCTCTCTCGACTTTTCTCTTCTTTTTCGCGGTACGACGACCTTTTTTCCCCCAGCTTCTTTTTTTTTATTTTTTCGTTACTCGATTGTCTTGGCACGGACTGGAGCCCGCGCGCATCTATGAAAAAGTTAGCCTGCGAGTAGTATTATTACGAATCGAAGCGTACTGCAGGAACAAAAAATCGACAGTGTTCGGCGGATTTCTATAGATATAGTACATTAACGAGCTCAAACTTGATGTTGCGGTTGAAAGAATGACTTTTTCCGTGAATTAGCTCTCCCCCTCTCCCCTCATCATATACTTTTCCTTCGCTTCTCTATTGATGCGATAAAAAAGAGAGTCAAGATCTTTTGATTTGCGCTCGCTACTTCAGAGCAGCTCGAGGTATAGGTAGTAGTTTTTCGCGTATATAGCTTCTCTCGCGCTGGATAAAAGTAACTTGCTTCTCTCTCTCTCTCTCTGCCTTGCTACTATACGGGTACATACATACGTATACACATCTTTCGCACGCGCGGGACTACGACGACGTAGAAGAAGATGAGGCGCGGAGGGAGTAGTTGTTAATCGATTTTCGCACAGGGGCGTGGACGACTATACTTTATATCTAAAGCTACTGCAAGACGACGAAGACGACGACGTTTTATCTATATAAGCTTTTGAAAGTTCCTCTTATAGAGTAGAGGTAAGAGAGGCAAGAGAGAGAGAGAGAGAGAGAGAGAGAGACGAGCGAGAGAAAAAAATTTCCTCATCTTCCAGTTGGTATAATTTTGTAAATAGTGTACGCAGGGCTCGGCTGCGCACAGCTCAACTCAGATGTATAAACTCGCTCCTTCTTCTTTCTTTTTTTTCCAGGAGGATGGTGGGACTGAAAAAAAATGAGAGAAACAGGGACGCTCGATGGAAGATGCTTCGCACAATATATTTATAGCAAGAAAAAAAACAGAACGACGCGTCAAGTTGTTACCTTATTACGAGTGAGCGAGGGAGAGAGGAAGAAGAAAGTAGCAGCAGTAGCAAGCAGCAACTCGTCCTCAAATATATTGTATATGTAATGTTATTTTTGTACATGTAAAGTTTGTATACACGCTTACGGCGACGAAAAAAAAAAGAAAGAACGACGTGTTTGTACTGGCCCCTGCGCAAGGAGACAGAAAATTGTATAAGAAAAGCCATGTGAAATAAAGCAAGTATGAAAAGGAAAAAAAGACGTCCTGCTAGAAAAAAAAAGAAAAGAAGATCACCGAATGACAAGCGTGAGAGTGAAATCGTGTCTTTCCATTCGTGTGGAATGTCCATCCAGTGTGCGAGTAAATGTGTGCGAGTGTGTAAGCCGGTGCGCGCCGTTCCGGTACAGTAATGCACAGCTAGCTATGTATGTATTGGGACACGGCGGAGGCTAGTGGTGGTAATCGCGAGAAGAGGCTCTCGCCCGGAGCACATACGACTTCCGGTCCAAAGGTTTTCCGATATATCGGCTATGGCCGTGTGTGTATATGTGTCGCAGTCTAGCTCGAGGGCACACATCCTCGCTCTCGCTATATACGTACGTACGACGACAACGAGGCTATCTGCATGCATATTATGGCCCTGCTCGACCCGTTCACCTTCGCCCGCAACAACTAAAATCCGCAGTAGTAGTACCATTATAGGAGTTTTTCCTCTTTTTCTAATTGTCAGGTCTTAAATAATAATTACCGTCGACGTGGAACGGTGACTAAAGCTCGGAGAGCTAATTGAGCTCTCTTTTGCTCTCTCGTAGTCGGACGTATGTGTGCGCAGTGGGCAAGCTCGTACTACCTCCTACCCTCCCACCCTCTCTCTTTCAATTACGTTAATTTAAATCCTTCATCCACGCGCGCGCGCTCAGACTCTCGGTATATATAGCGTCTCTCTTAGAAAAGTACTTAGCCCCGAATGCAGCTCAGCCGCCGCCGACGCTTTTCCAATTGCATATACGCAGAGCAGCGGCTCGAGCTCATTTACTTTCATTACCTACATCTTGGGCTCTGGTGGAGACTACCTTTCTCGCCCCATGCATACGCATACACCACCAGCAGCACTTGGGCGAGAGTAAGATTTTATTTTTCCTTTCGCGCTCTCTCTCCTCATCCAGCTCCCTTTTATTTTTCATTTTTCTTGTATGTATCCGCGTATAGAAGGTGAGTGAACGCAATCAATGGGCGGCTCTATTGTGCGCAAAATTTTACAGAGGGGAGCCGAGCGCAGTAGTCGTAGATTGATTAAACTTTTTTACGAACGGACATTACGTTATTGTGCGGGAAATAGAGAGAGGGAGAAAAGTGAGCTAGGCTATATTATGCATGTACGGCATAAGCCGTGGAATTGGAGCAATGAAAATTATACGGTGTACATAATATACGCATATAATAAAAAGTTTACGCGTTGAAAAATTTCGCCCATAAAAAATATTTTCAATATATGTCTAGGAGGTCGCGGTGGTGTGCGTAGGCGTGCGCTAGGTGGGCCTCCTCTCCATCCCCCTGCCGCCGCTGCACTTTTGCCTCAAACTCTCGAGTTCATATACTTGCTCGACAGCCGTAAATATAAGTACTTATACATGGCAAGCCTCGAAATGCTTGGAAACTTGTCAGAGGTATGCGCGATGTATGTGTGTGTATATGTGCAGCGCAGTAAGCTGCTGCTATACGTATACACACGTAAATAATATCGTTTTGAACTTATAAACCCAAATCCCGTATAAAGGTCATGTACTGCGAAAGTTTCTTCGAGGCAGTCGAGCACGATAGGTTGAGTGAGCTAATCAGGCCGTATACAGTATAGCCTAGCGAGGGAGGTCCTTAATACAGACGGTGCACTTACGCGTTCGGCTGTGTAAATTATTATATATATGCGCACTGACTTTGAAGATGAAAGTTAGTGCGAAATAGGCTTGCTTCTCTCACTCATCCGCTACTCTCTTATACTCGTGTCTATCTGTGTGCGCGCGTGGAAACTACACAACTACGCTAATCTGCGGTTTATCATTTCTAGCGGCTTGTCGGCGCGTACACAGACGAGTCTTATATCTGCCACGGAGGAGTGACTGAAAGCATAAGAGAGAGAGAGAGAAAGAGAGAGGGATTTGATGACAATTGTCTTCGCAGCTACTTTATTTACCCCCCGAAGGCAATTTATTTATTCGCGATATCAATGAGGAACTACTGCTATACATACACAATTTATTACACCGAGCTCTGTAGGGACGAGTCGGAGAGGATTGTATAATGCGCGCGAAAGTTGGCCCCGGCAGTAGCAAGGCGTTAAATACTGCTCTCGGCGGCGAGCTACACACAACCAAGCCGCTCCCAGTTAAAATCCGTACTCCCAAGTTTCAAGCCTTTGAAAATTTACCACCGACGAATCCTCGCGCCCGTCCTTCTTCCCTTATAAGCGCAAGCCTGAGAGAGGGATAGAGAAACTTTATATTATAGCAGTTTTGATATTATAGATATGTGCGGCGCGTGCAGCGTCGTACTATTTGCCTCCGACGACACACTGTTATATTTCAGCCTTTAGTTTCTCTCTCGTCGACTATACTCTGTATGTGTCGTAGCAGTAGCAGCAGGTACGTGTGAGATATTAATACAGTACTTACATTCCATTAGAGCTGCTTCTGCTGCTGCTACTGTGTATAGCTGCTGCTGCTGGTGTACCAGTGCTTGGCAAGCTGCAATTATATGCCATACGTGCTTAAGTGATATTACATTTTCTCCTATAGCCATCTCTCTATGCGCGGGAGGGTGTCGTTTTACTTCGCGCGCAGCAGCAGCAGCGACGGCGGCAAAAGGACCTGAGAAAACTCGCTAATGTATTATATTCCCATATAGCACGTACGTTCCGTTGGTTTATATTTGCATTTAATCCTACGGCTTCGACTCTATATAGTTATAGAGCCACGTTCTAGAGTAATAGCACCGAAAATACTCAAGGACTCGGAAATTTGTTGAAATAGCGTAACGTTATATACATGCAGTATATATAGTAGTCGTACGAGGGGTCTCATCGACGAATTTCTCAACGCCCGGATGGCATATAGTCGTGCTGCAGCAGCGCAGCGCCAGAAGAGGAGTAAAATGTAACACTTGTACGTCTGCCTTAAGTAAAATTGGTCCTTCAATGGCTGCAGCCAATGTTATATAGGCGAATGCTATATAACCAACTTCATCGAACATGCCTTCGCCAAGTCGGCCCTCTCCTGCATACTAAGCAATCCGTCTCGATTCACGTTGACTCTATATACCTCGGCTCTCTCCTCTGCTTCTTCTTCTTTTTCTCCTTTATTTATTTTTCTTTCATTTTACGTGCGTGATTTCCGTTCGGTCGAAATTACATTGCAAGTGAATGTTGCACGCGTCGCGAGGTTTTTTACTTTTGCGCAAAATACACAACGAAGGAGAAAGAAACACATGTTCGTGCAACACAGCCGCTGAACTTGGACCGTGCGCTAGCTATGTGTAGCTATAGACTCGGTTCGCATCCAGCGATGTGTCAACCAAAATTAACGTCGTCGCGCTCGGGGGCCAGTGCAGTGGCACTGGAGATTGCAGAAGCAGCAGCCTCGTGTCCTTCAATGCGCTAAGGTAATCCGCTCGTGATATATCATAAACCCGATGATTAGCTCAACCGCAGAAGCAACTTGGTGGCGGCGACGGAGGACCCAGACACACACAAGGCCTCTCTCTCTCTCTAATACTTTTGTTTTGCGTATAAAAGCAAGTGGCTGTCGCCGACTCGTCGCAGTTGTCAATTTGTGAACATGAAGGTGAGCAGCACGTTGTTATTGTAATTTCGACCGTTGCATTTTTTTTTGTTTGTTCATTCGTGTATTTTTTTTTTGAAAAGTTTTCATTATTATAATTTCGTTCTACCTTTTCTTTCACGTTCGCCAGTTGCCAGTCGATCCCACCCCCACAGCCCTAGCCATCTTAGGAATTTGCCTGAATCATGCGAGTGGTACGTAGTCAAATTGTCGCTCTTTTATATTAAATTCTTACCGAGTCGAGTGCGAATATATAGTACATAAATTTTCGCCGTTTTTCTGCGCTTCAAGCCTCGCGAAAAACGTCCAAAGCACATTTTTTCCGTGCGAATTAAAGCCTTTTCACTCATATTTTTTTTATCATTATTTTACAAAATATTTGCCACGGTATTTCAATGCCTCCTTTATTTTCATCGCTCCAGAAAATATCTTCGCAAAAATTAGGACTTCGGTATAGTAATTTGAATACGCTCAAAAAGTAATTTCAAAATTTTCCAAGTAAAAGAACTTTCTACAAACGTAAAAAAGTTATCAGCCCCATGAGCGGATGTTTTTCTTCCTTGGCGCGTATAATCTTATGGCAATGTTTTTCTCTTTCTCTCTCCCCCACAGCGCAATCGTTCGATCTGATGAGGCTCGATGGCGGCGACCCAGTCAATGCGATCGGCAGCAGCAGTCTCGGCGCGTTGGCCAATGTGGCCGTGGGTGCTCTGAGTTTCGTCGGACTTCTCGGCGGTCTGGGCGCGGGTCTCGGCGCCAGCAGTCTCGCCAGTGTCAGCACCCTCGGCCTCATAGGGCTCTTGGGCTCGGCGACGAACGTAGAAGCCGGCGGCAAGGGAGGAGGCGGCGGCAAGAAAGGCGGAGGTGGCAAGAAGGGAGGCAAAGGCGGAGGTAAAAAAGGTGGAGGTAAGAAAGGCGGAGGAGGCAAGAAGGGCGGCGGAGGTAAGAAAGGCGGCGGCAAGGGCAAGAAAGGTGGCGGCAAGAAAGGTGGCAAGGGCGGCGGAAAAGGAGGCAAAGGAGGCGGCAAAGGCGGCGGAAAAGGAGGCAAAGGTGGCGGAAAAGGAGGCGGAAAGGGAGGCAAAGGCGGTGGAAAAGGAGGCGGCAAGGGAGGACATTAGGAGCAAAAAAAAAAAAGCCGAGGTAATTTCTCTAATTTAATTGCGCCGTAAGCGGCCTCGTATTTGTGGCGCTGCTTTTGATACCCAACACGGTTAATATATGTGGCCTGTCTTCTCAACTCTTGTTCCTTCATTAAAGCGTACGCGCGTTTATACCTATTATATGGCTTGCAGAGTGAAGGGAGGAGAAAAAAAGCTGCAACAACAGCGGCAGCAGCAGCACTGGGAGGATACCACGAATATAGAACGAGAATGAACGAGAAAGAGAGAGAATAAAAAGGCATAATCAGCAGTAGAGCAGCGGCAGCGGCACTATAATATGGGCGATGGCAGCAACGGCAGCAGCAGCGTGGAGCGAGCGCCTTTGATAAAGCCTGGCAAGAAAATCTTCAACTATTTTTTTATACCCCCTTCGTATATATTAAGGTCTATTCTGTGTATACCTAAGTAAAAAACATTTTATTTTGAATAAAAAAGAAAAGCTGAAAGACAAAAAAAGGCTGAAAAAGTTAAAAAGAAGCAGCGCACACAAGCTGGAGTCGTTGTTGAATTTTATTATCCTCGCAAACTCGGCTGAATATAGTAATAGTGTCTCTTATGCTCTCCGCCATGGCAGATATAGCGTATACTACTCCTCTGCTATGCTGCTACTACGTCGTAGCTGCTGCAGCGGTAGTAGTAGTAGTAGTAGTTTCGCTGCGAAGAGGCGTGCGGCACACATTTGGCCTGTCTCGTAGATTGGCGTAGACACGACGTCGAGAGGTATATAGATACACGCGCGTACACAGAGCACAGCGACCCCGGGGGGCAGGGTGAACTGCTGCAGCTTCTACTGCTGCTGCTGCCTCGTGGTATAGAGCGTAGTATATACAGGGTGGGATGGGTTCATTTAGTCGAGGCTCATTCCTTCCGGCGATATCGCCAGTTGCCTGGTTGCCTCTCTCGTTGATGCTGCTGCCTTCTCCTCGCGCATCCCTCGCGTACCCTCCCCTTCACCCTCTTGCCAGTAGTAGTTTAGCGAGGCATCATTGCATATACACACGTACACCCGCACACACGCCTGTTTACAGTCAACATACGCTTTCGGACGCGGCAGAGAGAGATAGTAGCTATGGTAGTATAGAATATATATATATTCGCTTGTCTGGCTCGCAGCATCAGCAGCGGCAGCGTCACAGAATGAAGTCGTGCGCGCAATTATAGGCCAGTAGAGCTTCGCTGGTGTGCCATGGTGCAAAGGATCTATATCAGCCGGTGCTAGCGCTAGCCCCGAAGCGCGAGGCAATATAGGAGCTCACGAGCTAGCTAGCGGCACGAACGCAAAGGGGTGGCAGAAGCAGCAGCAGCCCACCCACGCCCCGATCACCTTGCGCAATCAAATTAGCGAGGATTAGTCCTCTCTGCTCTTTCCATACACTCGTCGAGCTGTTGCTGCAGCTCGTGCCACTAGCCTTTTTCGAATCCATCCATCCCGATCCAGCCTCCTCATCCCCCACTCGCTACACACACACACACATGCGTACGTATATGGTACGTGAGTTGCGAGAGAGAAATACCTGCGCCTCGTATAAGCACGTGCGGTTTTCAAAAGCCCCCTCTTGGCCATTCTCGCACGCGGCACTAGCAGCGGCAGTACGACCGCAGGTATTGCACGGGGCTACGAGCGGAACACGTCGATCGTTGGCGAATTTCGAGCTGCTACTGCTTCTCGCACGTATATATGTATATAGGTCCGTGTCGTACTAGGCTACACGTATTCATAATAGCCGACGAAGCAAACAAATACTACGAGGCTAATACAGCGATAATAGCTCTCACAAAATCCATAAATCATCCCCTGGGCTCTGCGGCACTTTTAGTACTGTAGCATCAGCAGCATCGGCGGAAGAGACTCTGCGTCTATCAACGACGGATGAGTAGAGAAAAAAAAATTCAGTCACTGGTATATACGTGCAGTACGGGACCACCGCAAGCTTCTCCGTTCTTTATTTTCCTTTTTGCTCTCCATTTATTTTACACGCGACACAAAAAGTGGGACGAAAGAAACCGACATCAACGTCGACGACGACGACGACATTTCCGTGAGCTCTGTGAAACTACAGCAGCAGCGGCGGCGGGCAAGGAGCGTATATCCACGAGTGCACTTGAGCACACACACACACACGTGCGCGTAGTAGTAGAAAGAGAGAGAGAGAGAGAGAGAGGAAGAGTGAAAGGGGAATTTTGGACGTATACGTGCAAAGTGAAAACCACGCGCTCGAATAGTGGCTGCTCCGTGACCAGCATCCTGCGCCCCCCTACCTACCCCCTTCCGCGTCGCGTGGCTGTTGTTGGGCTGTATACACGTGCACGTCTGCGTATATAGCAGTACTTTATAAGTGTTACATATGTGTGTGTGTGTGTGTGTGCGTATGGCATAGGCAGCGGCAGCTTTAGACAATTCAACAATGCGAAATAAACGACTTGTATATGCGTCACATAGTCAAGAGGCGACTGCTGCTGCCGAGCTAGGTACCCCGCATGCCTCGTCGCTCTGTCTCGTGTGCGATGCGTGGGTGGATGGCTGCTGCTTCTATTCTGTAACTGTTTCTGTCGCGTTAAAAAATGATTGCGACGCGAATATAAGCCTCGGCGGCGCGCGATGATAATCTCCCTGGCAGTCGAGCAGCCTCGTCAACGATCAATTCGCTCCACGAAGAAAGGGAAGAAAAGAAATGTACGTGTCTGTATGTGTGTGTAATGTGCAAACTCAGACATACTGTACCGAATGTTATGTATGTATGTATGTACGGATCTTTTCGCGCGTCACGGCAGAAAGGGATGAATGAGAAAAAAAGGAGCGAGCGAGAGAGAATAAAAAAAAAATGGGAAAAGAAAGAAAAGAAAGAGGGACGCAGATTGGAATTGCGGATTAGAGCTCAAGTCGAGTCGTCGTTCTTTCATGCGCGCGCGCGGCATAAAAAAAGAAAGAAAGAAAAATCTGAAACACGCCGAGTACTCGTATATAGTTGCTTCTCTTTCTCTTTCTCTACACGCAACTGCTGCTCTGTAGCGGCATATGCGCGCGCAGCAACAGCAGCAGCAGCAGCAGCTCATAAAGCGCATAATATCTGTGTCTACACAGCGAACAGGCTTGCTGACTAGGACTTGGATTAATTTTCTGCGCTTTAAAACGTGTCCAAGGGGGACAAATTCTCGCCCACTGCATCCCCGTGGTACAGCGCAAGCGAGAGCTTTATACCGATGCGTCTTTTTTAAACAGCATGAGGCACGAGCGCAAGGCCGAGCTTGCGCCACAGGATCGGTGGTCAAGATAAAATGATACGGAGCTAAGCGAGAAACGTCCGCGGCACAGGAGCAACAACTACTGCGTGCGCTACATAGACAGACGCAAGCTCGCGTCCACTCGAACTGCCTAGTTGCTTGAGCCGCTGTGCGGGAGATACGTACACATTTATATACGTATACACTTACTTTAGCTGCTTTAGCAAAGCCTAGTTGAGGTAGGTAGCTTCAACTCTCAGAGCTGGTGCTGACTACTCGCTGAATACTACACACACGCGTACATACAGATATACTCGCCGCTCAGCGCCGAGCTACTACTACTTCAGCGGCCATTGCACTTTTAATTACGTTCTCTGCTTCTCGCTTTATCTTCATCTCTCTCTCTTTCTATTTCTCTCTCACTCGCTCACTCACTAGCAGTACTGCAGCAGCTTCCCATGTTTAAATGTGTATATAGTATATTTATATAGCGTGCCCACTTCTCGGAGGATATGCTTTCCTCCGGCGGCGGCGGCGGCTGCATTTGCTGCAGTTATCCCATGCCTGGCTTTTTCCGCTTTTCCCCGCGCCACCGCGCTTCTTTTTCTCTTTATTCATCCACATAGAAAAAAGAGCGAGCAAGAGAGAATATATGTATATATATCTCGCGGTAAAGCGGGAAAGCGAACATTTTTCGGTAATTACAAACGCGGCGCGCGTTGCTGCAAGCTCTCCTGCAAGCTCCTGCAAGCTCGAACAATGTGTGTAGCCTGGTATATACAGCGTATGCTATTACTGCCAAATCAGAGCCAGGCTGCTGCACATCTTTAATCAACGACATATATATTCGCAGCCGCACACACATTCGTGTGCATTCACGCATGTCGGTGTGGTATTATATTCAGATATCTGTATACACGTATTACATACTTATAACGTCGTACGTAACTGCAAAAATTTCAATAAAACTAGCTGCTGCTGCTACTGCAGTCCATATCTGCGTGTGTGCGAGCCAACGCGCGTTGGAACCTATCCAAAAGTCGAAATTCCATTAGGATAAATCCTCTCCCCTGGAGCCTTCTCTCTCTCTCTCTCGCTCTGTGTATACGGTCTATGTACGCGCGCCTATTTGGATCGCGAGTTGATTTATGCACGCAAAAGAGAGAGAGAAATAGAGGCCAATGTAAGACTAACCATTAAAGCGAGTCTCATCTGCGTCCCGTAGATATATACTCCGTTTATAACTGTACGCAAGTAAATCCGAGTCGGCTTCGTTGGCGCTAAAGCGGAGGCAAAGTCGATTGACTGTACTTTTCTTTCCCACTGCGGCTCGAGTTTCCAAAGTTTAAGGCGCGAGTATGCCATGGGATATTTTTCCCCTGCATCTTCTTGCTTTTCTCGTTCTATATATTATATCAGTTGACTCGACGTAATGCGCAATATCGATTAGCGATTGGGTGCGAACGGGGGGGCATATAAACTCGTTTAGCACTTGATCGCGCGAAATACGCGAGAACATATAGGGAGATCGTTATCCCGAGCTTGCGATCCATTCGCATATATCTAGCACGTATAGTTATACCCAATCACGATGACCATAGCTTGTCGACTTTTAACTTGGATCGCCAATCGTTAGGCGTCGTGCACTACTGGACGTTCCGAGTCCTCGAAATTTCAATTGCTTAATTTCTTCAACAAACTTGACCCTTCGCGATCTCGTTTTACCTACTGTTAGC